CCAAGAGGTACAAATAAGGGATTTCCATTCACACATTGAGATGACATGGTATTCCCCACAACGCCGCCACCCTGTGCCAGCGTAAACAACGGGAGACGTGTGAGAGACCGCCGTCAGTTCGACCAGAATTGGAAAGTTGCCATCTTCCACCACCAACCCAAGGCCAACAACACTCCGGTTGTCATGGTAACGGCTGGGTAGTTCGAGGACCTTCCTTCTCCCACTCGCTCTCTCTCTCTCTTTCTCTCTTTGGCAATCGGACGTTCCGTATTTTGATTGCGTGGTGTTGAATATTTTCCTTTAATCGCAAAGCATGTCATTCTCAACATGGCAGATGGTGGCGTTGTTGTTGTTGTTGTGTCCAATGAAGAGCCTCAGATGTCTCCATGCATCTCTATCACAGCAGCAGCAATATCCACTATCTTGGGTGTGTAAAGCTGCAGCCATTGCTGGGCATGAGAATATGTGAGTAGGTGTTAGTTCCACACCAAGACAGTTGTTATATGTCCTATAGGTTCTTGTGCCATCTGGATGTATTGTCATTCCTTTATAGTGTTTTGTTCTAAGTCTTGTTACAGTTTTTATAATTTTTCTCTCAGAGTTAGATGGTGGCGTATTAACCACATTTTAACTAGCAAGGCATGTTGATGGTATTTCTGGTTTGTTTTTAACGTGTTTTCTCTAGTGTGATATTTTATTTCCTGAGGGTTAGTAACGACGAATGATCGAGAATGAAAGGGTAGGTTCAAGACCTATTATTATTGCTTATCCCTAGTACACGTGGTACATGCCATGATAATCATAGTAGGTAGAAGTAGGCGACTGCTTTTACTATAAGTGCACCACATGTCTACACACGTGAAAAGCAGTTCGACTTTGCACTTACAAATGTGCCAGAGCCACGTTTGGTTATTTGCACACGCTGGTGGGGTTAGACTTTTGGAAGAATCGGGGCCCATTGGAGCATTTTTTTTTTATCAGAAAAAAGTGCCCAATGCGGGAATCGAACCCGGGTCGTAGCGGTTCAAAACCAACGGTTTAGACCATCCTTCCACCGACTCCCATGTTTCAAGACCTGGTTGGAAGAAGTAACTGCCATTCCAAATAGACGATTGGGTTGATTCGCCATTCGCTGCTTCCCCCACGTTCTGTTCATCTAGGTAACTTGTCTTTTCTCACAAATTTCGTTTCCCTACTGTTCTTCGAAACAGTTTTAATTTCATGGGATCCACAAAGGATCAAAAATTAAATCAAAGCCCTCCTCCTGAACTGAGAGAGACATTAGCCTGAAACCATGGTCTCCAGGTGACACTTCTCAGTTTACCAAAGCTGGTGTTGTGGCTTTGTCACCGATCTAAGTCCGCTAGTTTGCAGAGATAGTCAATAAATTATTGTGTCTAGTTTGGACGTCTATTTTGACGGGTGAGGCGACATATGGTTGAATACGGTGTAGGATTTATATAGAGATAAACCTTTGATGGGGATCTTAGTGGTGGTGGTGTCTTGTCCATGGAGCAGATCAGATCGGTCCATACATCCTGATCACAATACCGGCCAACTGAGGTGCCTTTGACAAAAGTTACTATTACGGGTTTTCACACAAATTTGAAATATACTAGGGTCTAAAGTAAGAGTAACTTAATACACAGAAAAACGTACACTCAAGAGTACAACACCAACAACAAAAAGGATGTAAATAAAAACTCACGATTTGTAAAATAAAAACAGTACTTATCCAGGTACAGCTTGCACCACGCTGATGAGGGCAAACAGCCCGAAACGCGTCCGTGGTTAGTTTTTCTTTATTAATCAAGAATGGGTATTTGGCCAATTCTGGAATAATTAGAAATAAACGAGAATAGTTGATATTTATTCCGATAGATGGCGCAAGCCATCAGCAACTTTCAGTTGTACGATAAGGAGATGCCTTTTTCATAATACTTATCATTATTGTAGCGTTGGTAGGGATCGGACCGGGGTCACACAGGTATGCGAAGAGATCACCAGACACGGATAAATCACGCAGAAAACACTTTAAGAGTCTCCACACCAATTCTCCCCACACGCCCCCCATCCCGTAATCCTTTAGCCCCCTCTTATACACAAACATGACCACATTCGTCCAATGAGAAGTCATGAGAGATTGTTTCACTAACAAACGAAGACAACATTCTTCCCGCTAAAAACTGATGAGAAAAACTGCAAATGTTTGTCAATATAATTTGATACCTTGTCCGCATGGATGTCCTCTTCTGGATTGATGTCTGCCATATAGAGGACTGCAAGTATGGCCGGGTATATATGGTCAGAAGTGGCTGGGGATCTTAGTAACTATCGGATATACGTTTCTGAGTACAGAACCATTACAAAACTTCATTCTGACTATGGCATACTACATTGTAGCAATTTCTTCAGAAAAAAAAAAGTGCCCAGTGCGGGATTCGAACCCGGGTCGTCTTCTCTTCTTCTTTCTTATCTCCACTCAATCACACTAAGGTATCAAGCTTGTAAAGCTTGAGAATTTTGATGGTGTCTGCCGGGGAAGAGTAGAACTCATCAATGGATGAGTCAATACAGTCAATAATATGGGAAAACCTTGCAACCATTCTGGAAAGTCATTGTCCGTAGATGACCAGACTTAAGTCTGGAAATCAAAGACTGTTGTTCTCTTGGGAGGACAGAACCGGTGTTTGTCCCTCCTGCTCTGTACCAGTCCTGGGCAGCATTAGATTTCCATTCCTGCAGGCATCCCGGGTCGTAACTGTCAGAAATCGGCGGTCTAGTATACTAAACCCCTAGTATCTGTAGTAGAGTGAGGAAAGGAATGTTAGTGAGTTGTAGAGTTGGCATGTAGACAATGAAGTATTGGATGGACAACAAATCAAGTTTACACAACAAGAAGAGATTTCAAAATGCCATTTTTTAAAAATAAAACTTGATTTATTATGGTTCCGCATTTACCATTCTCCGTGCATACCAACTCAACAAACCATTTCTTTTATTTCAACACTTTACCATATCGAGAAAGGAGGTTGGATGCTGTAGGAATGGTTTAAAACGTCGGGTTTTGACAGCCACGATCCTCGGAATCGAATCCCAAATTGAACTTTTTTTTTTTTTTTTTGATGAAAAAAAAAAAAAGCTTCAATACCCCCCCGATTCTTGCAGAAGTTCAACCCCACCAGTGAATACAAGTTATTAAACTGGGTTCTGGTAGATTTGTAACATAGAGAAACTCGGTATAATATCTCTATGGTTTAAAGAAAACTGGTTTTTAAGGATTACTTGATATTAAATGAAGATAGAAACCTTATTTAAGAGCTACGATTTCAACGTTTCTGTGGTGTAGTGGTTATCACATCCGCCTAACACGCGGAAGGTCCCAGGTTCGAGCCCTGGCAGAAACACTTTTTTTTTTTTTGCCACGAAAAATATATAGTTAAACTTGTCTATAGCGCCTTCCTCTCTAAAGCGCCCGATTTTAAAAGTGACCTGTATATAGCACCCTATTTTGGTGAGTTCCAAGAACTTTAACTGTATATTCCTTTATATATTTTTAAAATTTATTATTATAATGTTCATTTTCGTTAGAATTAATCGGCTTCTATTTCCGACACTGACGATGTGTAATAAACACCACGCACGAGTGGTTTGGGTTAAGGTTCTTGTTCCAAAAATCACACTTTATTAGGTACCGCTCAAAAAGACCAACCTAGTTTATGATATTTACAACAATGAATAATATGAAAAAATAGTACAAATGTGATAATGTACTGGGATAAGGTGCATAGATTATGAAAAAGGCATCTCCTTATTGTGCAACTGAAAGTTGCTGATGGCTTGCGCCATCTATCGGAATAAATATCAACTATTCTCGTTGATTTTTAATTATTCCAGAATTGGTCAAATACCCATTCTTGATTAATCAAGAAAGGCTACGAGAATAGTTGATATTTATTCCGATAGATGGCGCAAGCCATCAGCAACTTTCAGTTGCACGATAAGGAGATGCCTTTTTCATAATGATTAATATATGTGAAGGTTATTCACATATTAAACAAAATGTTAACGTGGGATTCAATCCCGGTTCATGGCTGTCGGGAATCGAGGGTGTTACCTACTTGTCCACCGACTTTTTTTGGTAAAGGTGGAATCGCTTCTTGGACCATTCTAAGATTGTCCTGATTAGTGACCGTTACGATGGCTTTTACCTTCCCTCTTAAACTAGTTGTTATCTCGAAGGCTGCTGCCTGGTCTAGGTGTCATTCTTTACAAGAAAGTCGAGGCAGATTTCGATCGAGGCAGATTCATCTTTAACAATAGATATAATTTGGATTTTTGTGATATTAAGTAGTATTAACATAAAGGTAACCCAGGTAACTCCTGGAGCATATCCATAGATCACCAACTACCCGGGCTGTCATGTGATTTAGGAGTCTGTCTTGGTAGCCTTAGTGAACCAGTTCACCAAGTATTTCCAGGCCGGTCTTGGTAGATTCAATAGGGCAGTGTTATTGAATGAGGACAGTCCAATAAGTGTAGCCGTTTGGAATCGCTGTAGTTTAGGAGTCTGTCTTGGTAGCCTTAGTGAACCAGTTCACCAAGTGTTTCCAGGCCGGTTTGTTTCTTGGTAGATTCAATAGGGCAGTATTATTGAATGAGGGCAGTCTCCAATAAGTGTAGCCGTTTGGAATCGCTGTAGTTTAGGAGTCTGTCTTGGTAGCCTTAGTGAACCAGTTCACCAAGTATTTCCAGGCCGGTCTTGGTAGATTCAATAGGGCAGTATCATTGAATGAGGGCAGTCTCCAATAAGTGTAGCCGTTTGGAATCGCTGTAGTTTAAGAGTCTGTCTTGGTAGCCTTAGTGAACCAGTTCACCAGCTGTTTCCAGGCTGGTCTTGGTAGATTCAATAGGACAGTGTCATTGAATGAGAGCAGTCTCCAATAAGTGTAGCCGTTTGGAATCGCTGTAGTTCAAATGCTGGGCAGCTACTGGGTAATACCCTACAGCACTCGGTGTTCCCAGGTGGTCACCCTCCCAAGTACTGACCGGGCCCAACATTGCTTAACTTCGGTGATCGGACGAGTGATATTACTAAATACGTCACATACAACCTATGGTGTTGATTTTTAATAAGGAATATAAGGCAGAAAAAGAGCTCGACTTATAACGACTCAAATATAACTCTGTATACATTCTCTCTGGTATGCTTTATTATCATTTTATGTAAATAATTATACAATGTATGTAACGTCTAAATAAATATTGTGTCTGGAAATACTCTACTGCATAAAAAGAAACGGATTTTTTTTTTTGCTTATCCCTGGTACACATGGTACAGGCCATGTAATCATGGTGGGTAGAAGTAGGCGACTACTTTTACTCTAAGTGCACCACATGTCTACACATGTGAAAAGCAGTTCGACTTTGCACTTACAAATGTGCTAGAGCCTCGTTTCGTTACTTGCACTCGCTGGTGGGGTTGGACTTTTTCAAGAATCGGGGGCCATCGGAGAATTTTTTAATCAGAAAAAAAGTGTCCCATGCGGGAATTGAACTCGGGTCGTAGCGGTCAAAAACCAACGGTTTAGACCATCTTTCCACCGACTCCCTAGAAAGGAATCGTTCCTAGGTTTAATTCTCCTGTTTGAACAGCATTAACGATTGATGTATAGTAGATGTAAGTTCTTCTTCTTCTTCTTTCTTATCTTCACTTAATCATATCAAGGTATCAAGCTTGTAAAGCATGACAACCATCATGATTGGGTGAAGTAGAATGCGTCTGCCTTTGTCATTAAGACTGGGAGCACTACTCAGTGGCAGGCCGACTTAGCTCCAAAAGAAATGGCCGCCTCTGACATGAGGAACAGACGCCATGTGCAGCTGCTCCTAACATGGAATACAAACGCTGTTCATCCTGTATCCCTGGTTTAGGAACCCTTACAGGGTACTATCAGCCGGGCCAGCTGAGTCCAGGTTTTTTAGCAAGCTTGTTACTGCTCCCCCTCCTCCTTTTTCATCCGGGCTTGGGACCGGCAAAGGCGGAGTTGTAGATGTAAGTTACTTTTGACCATTGGATGTTTCTCCTGTAGATAGAGGTTGCCTGGTCGAAGTGTCTTATTTTTCATAGAAACATTGGATGTTTGTTTTTTCATTTACTTCCCAGTCTACTAGATCCGCTTAACATCTGACCTACGTTAGATGGGGTCAACGCCTCGTAGGTCAATCCTAATGCTAAAACAAAGGCTAGTAGACCCTCTTCACCAAAACCAATGTTAAGATCGTCAATACAAACAAGAACCCAACGTGACAGTGTTCCAAAGGAAAGCTGGTGATATACAGCGGTAGACCCTCTTCACCAAAACCAATGTTAAGATCGTCAATACAAACAAGAACCCAACGTGACAGTGTTCCAAAGGAAAGCTGGTGATATACAGCGGTGGACCCTCCTCACCAAAACCAATGCTAAGATCGTCAATATAAACAAGTAACCAACGTGACAGTGTTCCAAAGGAAGGTTGGTGATATACAGCGGTGGACCCTCCTCATCAAAACCAATGTTAAGATCGTCAATATAAACATGAAACCAACGTGACAGTGTTCCAAAGGAAGACTGGTGATATACAGCGGTGGACCCTCCTCACCAAAACCAATGTTAAGATCGTCAATATAAACAAGTAACCAACGTGACAGTGTTCCAAAGGAAAGCTGGTGATATACAGCGGTGGACCCTCCTCACCAAAACCAATGCTAAGATCGTCAATATAAACAAGAACCCAACGTGACAGTGTTCCAAAGGAAGACTGGTGATATACAGCGGTGGAGGAAGGTCACTGACTGATAAAACGACCGTTCCATCCACAGGAACGTTGTTTTAGCATCTTCTTTCTTCTTTCCTTTTTTTCTCATCTCTCTTCACTCTACAACCCCTTTGCCTTGAATTAGGGTCTTGAAGAAAACTTTCCTTTTTCAGCTTGCACACCCACCCTCCTCTCTCCCCCGCTTTTTTTCTTCTTTTCTCTCTCCCTCCCCTCCTTCATTCTATTAAAAAAATACACTCAACCCCTTTTAGCACCCACACACACACATATTCTTCTTGTGCTTTGGTAAAGAGAGGGGAAAAAAAAACCCGAGATTTTATTTAATTTTTCTCTGTTGTTTATTGAAAGGAATCTTTGGGATTTTTTGTTTTGAATTTCTTTTCATATCGCATTTTTTTTTCTCTCTCTCTCTGACATCGCCCTAATTCTTTATTCTCTCTCCAACTTTATAACTCAACGTTTCTGTGGTGTAGTGGTTATCACATCCGCCTAACACGCGGAAGGTCCCAGGTTCGAGCCCTGGCAGAAACACTTTTTTTTAATTTTTTAAATACGACTTGTGGAGCATGCTGCCGACTCTAAATGCCAACGACCCAGGATCTCTTCTCTCTCTGCCGTTTAAATCTACTTTTCCAGAAATACACACTTAGCGCATTGAACTATAACTATACTTTAAGTTTTTGAAAAGTTCCAAATTCTATTTTATTTCCTTAAAAAAATTATTATTACTATTTTCGCGTATTTTAAAATTAAAATTTTTTTTTTTTTCAACTTGCCTGTTGAATAAGGGTTTTTGTCTTTTGACAGACATTTGAAGGTTTATTCTTGGTGTATAGTGAGTTTAAGAAGATTGGCTTTTGTCTTTGACGGCTTCAGCATTTGAAGGCTAATCCAGGGATACAGGATGAGCAGCGTTTGTACTCCATATTAGGAGCAGCTGCACATGGCGTCTGTTCCTCATGTCAGAGGTGGCTATTTCTTTTGGAGCTAAGTCGGCCTGCTACTGAGTAGTGCTCCCAGTCTTAATGACAAAGGCAGATGCATTCTACTTCATCCAGTCATGGTGGTTGTCAAACAGACACCATCAAAGGTCACAACTTGATACCCTAATATGATTGAGTGGAGATAAAGAAGAAGAAGAGAATTTGAAGGTTTATTCTTTATGATTTGTTAGTTAATGGGCTTTGCACGCTGCCATTGAGATAGTTTTCTGTCTGTAGGTGTCCCCCATACAGTAATACTGTAGCGAAGGTTGTTTAACTCGCAGCCGATCGATGAGGCTCTGGGCGTCTGCCAACGGCCACACCCAGTTTTACCGTTGCATCGGTTCAAGGTCTCTGTCAGCAGTGTCACTTCCTTCCGTCAATGTCTCTTTGTCCCATAGGCTAGTTGACATTCTACGTCGGGTCGTCATCACCTAACTGGACCTACCTAGCTTTTCAGCTTTCTGGGACGTTATAGTTAACCTTACTCTTACTGTACAAGACTGGTTCTCTAAGGCCCGAAATATTGAATTAACTTTACTGCATAAACCTTATTCTGGATTGATTTTGTCTCTCAAATGATATGATACGATGGGGAATTATGATTTTTCGAATCTTTTAGCTATCTCCCCCCCTCTCTTTCAAAACTAGCTGTTCTTAACCTATTTAGATCAATATAGGTGTTTATTTTTGAGCCGGGTAAAAAAAAAAAATCCATAAAAGACACCTCTCCCGGTAATATGTCAATGTCTCTTTGTACTAGCGGCTAGTTGGCATTCTACGTCGGGTCGTCATCACCTAACTGGACCTAGCTAATTCTTCAGCTTTCTGGGACGTTATAGTTAACCTTACTCTTACTGTAGAAGGCTGGCTCTCTAAGACTCGAAATATTGAATTAACTTTACTGCATAAACCTTACTCTGGATGGATTATGTCTCTCAAATGATATGGTACATGGAAGTACACCTATCCCCCGATTTAAACGGTAGATACGTTCCTGAGAAAAACGTGTAAATCGAGGGATAGGTGTATATTAAACTGTCAAATCTGAATAGGTGTTCGCCCCCTCATGAATCAGAGCCTCCCAATATTCTTTTCAACATAGGTAGTATAGAGTAGAATGTCGCATTTTAGTATAGTGCGATAAAAACAACAACAACAACAAAAAACTTATTTGGAAAATCGTGTAAAAGCGAAAACCCGTAAAACAAGTACCGTGTAAATCGGGGGATAGGTGTATTATGATTTTTCGAATCTTTTAGCTATCTCTCTCCCTCTTCGCGAAATGCGTGGTATCGCTGGGGACACGTTGGCGATCTTCCACCAAGCTATGCAGCGGTGGCTGAGACGCCATGTACAATGTACATAGCATATTGCTTATATCTATTTTTCGTTTTTATAATCATTTTCATTCTTGTTAATTTATCATAATTAGTGCGGATTGTGTACTTTCCTGTATTGACAAGATGTCAATATAAATATGTTAATTGTCTTTCTCTCTCTTTCGTGGTATCGCTGGAGACCCGTTAGTAATCTTCCATCAAACTCTGCAGCGGTGACGCCATGTACATATTCATTGTACATAGCATATATTTTATATCTATTTTTACTTTTCCTTCTTTTTTATATATTACACCTATCCCCCGATATACACGGTAGATACGTTCCTGAGAAAAACGTGTAAATCGGGGGATAGGTGTACACAGAAATAAAAATAAAATGCATTGACAGGTTAAAATATGTAGTCAGCACATAAGCTCGGGATTCCTCGTGAGATGTGTACACAGCGCATGTGTTCAATCACAGTAGCATTTAGTATTGTGCGATAAAAACAAAAAAAAAAAAAACTTATTTGGAAAACCGTGTAAAAGCGAAAACGTAAAAAAAGTACCGTGTAAATCGGGGGATAGGTGTATTTGTTCATATCTACTTGAATAGTGCGGACTGTACACTTTTACCTATATTTTGACGGGATGTCAATAAAACTATGTTATTTGTGTCTCTCCCTCTTGCAAAACTAGCTGTTCTCAACCTTTTTGGATCAATATAGTTGTCCATTTTTAGACTGGGGGAAAAAAAACTTTCATAAAAGACACCTTTCCCGTTGAATAGACTCAAAAACGATGTGTACCCTCTCTTCAACCTTCCAGAATCGGGTCATATAAACTCATAGACAAAACTTTAAAAAGTGGAAAGTCTTTGATGTCGCCGATTTTTTTGAAGGAGACAGAGGTTGTTCACACTTGGTTATCTCGTATGTTTTCAATAAAGGTCACTGTAATATCTTTCAGAGTTATTGT